TCACAAAACACATACATATATCACATACATTGTATTCAATGTTATCTCTTACTAGCCCATGTACACCTGTGAGAACTGTAGATATGTGAGTCTATTGAGGTTATGCACTATGCTGTCACCACAGCTCGTAAGGGGTCCCACTAGGGGCTATGAAATTTTATCCCAAAGGACCACTATGAAATATCCCGTAGGATCACTGTATGTCCCGAAGGACCTCGTAGACCCTTGACTCTTGGCATGCCAACTATACCTATAGCTCTCGTATCATATAACATGGACATTTTCACTTATATCATTTCACATATACACTTTCATATCACATGTCATATAAGCTCATAGCTTCTTTCACATATACATGTAGTCACATAGCTTTTTTTTCATATTCTCATAGGATCACATAGTTCATATCTTATACTTTGTTTTCTCATGTTCACATATATCATGTCATATGACTCATATCTTTCTCATGCAGTTACATAGTTCAGTTTCACATATGTTCATATATATAGATATTACATAGCACATACTTCTCATATAATCATGCATACATACAATTCATGTCATTTATATACGTATAATCATATATCATGCATTCTAACATAGGAAATAGACTTGTCGCAAGTCTTGTTTCCATTTAGCACCATAAACTAACTAATATGCACTCACCTTGGCCTCACTAAGTTTCAATCCCATTTATGATTCCTTTCTTTCGATCGAATCTTAACTTGATAGTCATCCCAGAACTTGCTCGATATCTATATAATCATACATTGATACATATCAGTATCCAATTGATATATTCTAATCTATCATTTCTTAGACCAAAAGAAAGGTCTAATTCTATTTTCCCTTGAAGTGTATCGGTACATTCTACAGTGTATCGATGCATCCCTTAACATGTGCATCGATGCACTACCCATGCATTGGTACATAAATCACCTTCGATGTTTCAATCTTAAGGGGGTGCATCGATACACTCCTTATGCATCGATGCACTAATTGCATTCAGTGTTCATTTATTTGAGAATGCATCGATACACATTGAAGATGCATCGATGCACACAACCCAAAAATTTCATTTGAGCCCGAAAATTCTTACTTTGTCCTAAAATTCTACTTATTAACCCCTCCTTATGCCTTAAAACTCATCTATACATATGTAAACCTTCTTATAACACTATTACACTTCATTATCCTTCATAATTCACCATAATTCTTGAATCAAATAATTTCATCAAATTTTCTATGTGTTCTTAATTCAATTCTATCACCTCTAACTTCTTAATTAACCCTTTGACAAGTCAAATTTAACTTCAAACTCTGTTAACTCCTTCTATTTCAATAATTCACTTAAAAACTCATTTTTCTTAATCTCTTATAACTTGTTCATTTTGGAGTTTTAGGTCACCATAAATCTTCCCTTACTCTTTCTTGTCACTCAAGAATCAAAAGAAACCATAAGATTGAAGAAACAAGCAAATTAAATCCAACTCACCTTATACATGAAGACATGGGAAGAAGAAGAAATTGAACCCCATCTATCTTTCTCATTTTACACGTGGTTATCTCTTTTATAAAGAGATAAAAAAATCTTTATTTGCAAAGATCAATTTACCCTTACTTCCTTACATATTTACCAAATAATCCTCAAAATATTCCTAATTAAGTCTCTAAACTTTCAGATCTTTCAAAATTAGACTTCAAATTTTCAAAACTTTCATTTTAGTCACTTGCTATAATTTTGGGATGTTACACATCTGCAGCAGAAGAGGTGGACCAAATGTCTGCAGTTTGCAATAAGAAGATTGTTTGTTTTTAATGTCTGCAGACTGCTAAAATAAACTGAAATATAAATAAACTGATTTTTTAAACTATACTCAAATAACTATTTTTGCTATTAATTTTTTAAAAATTATAAAATGTCATTAAATTTAATGAATTATTACAAAATAGTCACTATAATGTTGTAATAAATTATAAAAGTTCGATAATATAATAATTATTTTATAGTATTTAGATAAATTTATTAATAATTTTATAATATTTTGATAAATTTAATAAGTATTTTATAATTTTTTAAACTTTATTGACGAAAATGATCATTTGTATATAACTAAACGATATCTAATATACTTTATTTGAAAAAATATATTAAATAAATATTATACGAATTTTATTATTATAAATTATTACATCTACGGACTATTAGATTTTGGTTTTAATACTATATATCATTTTAAAAATTATTATTAAATCAATCGATAATGAAATCAATTTGATTTTAATTCAATCTGTTTGTTTCTGTTTAAGTAATTGTTAAAAAATTTATATTTTAATTCTCAATTATTATCGATTCACAAATATATCAATACTCGATTTTATAATATCATTTTAATTTATTCGAGTGGTACAATCCGATTCTAGTAACATAAAAAATATATATATAATATATACTCCATATAATATACATCAATTAGTATTTTTCTATTTAGAAAAAATATATTATTTGTTATTTATTTATTTATTATATATAAAGGGACTTTCGTACTTCCAGAATTAAATGATAAGAATCATATTTTCAATAGTGTGAATATTTTTTATTAAAATATTTATTTTATCTTTTAATGTTAATAATTGTATATCCCCGTGATTTTCTAAGTTTTTATATAAAAAAAAGTTTACTAAGTTTAATATATTTTTTCAAATAAAGTATATTAGATATCATTGAGTTATATACAAATGATCATTTTAGTCAATAAAGTTTAAAAAATTATAAAATACTTCTTAAATTTATTAAAAGATTATAAAATTATTAATAAATTTATCTAAATACTATAAAATAATTATTATATTATCGAACTTTTATAATTTATTACAACATTATAGTGACTATTTTGTAATAATTCATTAAATTTAATGACATTTTATATTTTTTTTTAAAAATTAATAGCAAAAATAGTTCTTTGAAGAGGTTAGAAGAGCTTTGAAGACATATGTCCACCTCTGCGCCAAGAAGAGAACGTGCATATGTTAGAAGAGCTTATGTCTTCTAAAAAACAAATGGTCTGCAAAGCCCAATGTCTGCGCGTGGTCTGCGCGGCGCAGACATAAGAGCTTTGAAGACCTTAAACAGTGAAAACAAACACCACCTTATTGATTAATCATTGGATTTTTATCCTAAAAACCCAGGTTTGATTCCTACCACATTTCACCATCTCATTAGATAAAATTAATTTAACAAATAAAATATATATATCATGTTATCATTTTTAAACACGTAGTATATGTCATGACATTGTTTGTGTACACGATAGAGTGTCATATTAGCCCTTTGTTCATATAGGACGTGTCACATCAGCAACATAGATCATGCATAATATTAATGATTCATTTTAAAGCAAATACATCCTTAATGAACGAATGTTAAACTTTGATAATTATTAGGGATCAAATTGATTTTTTTTAAGTATAAGTGACTAAAGTATAATTATCTAAAAGTTTTAAGACTAACTCATAAATTATTCTAAAGTTTAATTCGATTAATATTTAGACCAATAATGACTTTAATCAAGTTAATATAAGTTTAGAAGTCTTTAAGGATTATCTTATCACTTATTAAAAATTTGAGGGACTAAATTTTAGATTTTAAACATTGTAAGGTTTGAAACAAAAAAAGATTAATCTTTCTTAGAAGGAGTTTTGAAACTAGAGGTATAAGTTTTGAAACTTGATCAAAAATTTCGAAATTACTAAACCTTCTAAAATATCAGTATCGAAATTAATTGGAGAATTTTCAAAACTCATCAACATCAATTTCGAAACTAAGTTAAAAGTTTCGAAACTCTTTTCCTACTTGAGCTTCAAGTAATATGATTCAGTTGTCTTATTAAATAAGTAAAGCTCAAAGGTCATTCAAGCACTCAAAAATGCACCTAACGGCCAATATTAATATGCACTTGTTTTACCAACATATAACTAAATGCATGAGAAGAAATGGCAAGGAGTCGGGTTAGGTTAAGTTGTTGGTCAATTCGACGCGATCCAAAAAATATATATTATCTACCTGAATTCGATCCGACCCAAAGAACATGTTTCTTCTATTCAAACGTGATCTAACTTAAATTTTAAGAGTATAAACTCAATTTATTCAACATACAATTAGGACCTAATTAAAAAAAGATATAGAAAAAGGATGTATTATATCAATTATCTCTAAATTTATAAGAAAAAGTATACTAATACTCTCAAATCAGGTTGGATTGAAGGTTTTTCACCCTTCACTCGAATCTGACACTTGAACTAAACTTAAGTTTTTTTTAAATGACCTGATAAAATTAAATCAAATTAAAATTTATTGATTTCGGGTTAAATTACTATCCCTTACATGAGTTTAAAATCGAAAAAAATAGCATGAAATACATGAGAAATACCACATGAGTTGCCATTTTAAAATATTTAAAATTTTAATATTTTAATGAGCATTTTCGTTAAAAATAATTTAGCTTTATTTTCTTTCTGAAAATCGGTAATCAAATTCAACTAAAAAATAGGAGATATTTTGATAAAAAAATTATAAACATTAATAAATAAATTTACTATTATGTTTAATTTTAAATATCAGTTCAATTTTATTGGACCGGACATGATCCACTAACATTTCTCTCAAAAACATGTTTGCAGTCAAATGATCCTAGCAGAAGCAGTTGTATACTAAACCCAAACATAAAAACTGAAGCCTGTAAGGCTTGAAATTACATATCAACAGAAGCCCAAGAAAAAGAACTCCGACAGAGCTTCAAAGTTCTCCAATGGCCGATTCTAGACGTCATTTCAAGACCAATCAATCTGTGTCTGCTTCTGAACCAGAAAGGATAGAAATCAGCTCAAAAAGCAGACCACTTGAAACTTTTTGTCCTTTGCGTATCTATTCGCAGGCCACATGTTTGCTGTCATGTCTGAAAGGAAAACAACAAATGTAATATGAAAAAACCGACACAGTCTGACATTCTCAATTCTCAACCCCATGTCCGAAATCCAAATCCCACCACTTATACGATTAATCTAATCCGATTACTTCTCAGTATCTTTTTTCTTCATATAATATGTAAAAAAAGAAAAGTGGAACAAAAAGGAAGCCAATAGAATAGTGTATAGGAAAAAACAATGTTGGCGAATGAATCGGGTGGTTCGACTTTCGATCTTCCCGAGGAAGTGTTGCAAGTATTACCGTCTGATCCTTTCGATCAACTCGATGTGGCCCGTAAGATCACCTCCATTGCTCTCTCCACGCGCGTTTCTTCACTTGAAGCCGAGTCTTCTTCTCTTAAACATAAGCTTGCCGAGAAAGACCAACAAATCGCCGATTTGTGTGCCCAGATCGAAGCCCTCGAGGCTTCTTTGTCTGAAACCTCGGATAAGCTCGTTAATGTAGACCAGGAGAAGGTAAGTCCTGTCTGAGTTTGTCTTTTGATTAGTTTCTTCCTTTTTTTTTCTTTAGAAATTAAATGATTGAATTCTCTGTTTTTTGTTCTTTGGTAGGAGAGCTTGTTGAAAGATAATGCTTCCCTTTCTAATACTGTAAGGAAGCTTCAGAGAGATGTTTCCAAGGTTAAATGTTAATGGGGTTTTCATTACATGTCTGTGTTTTTTGTTGATTGATTGTCTGAAGCTGGGAAATTTGGGTTCATAACTGGGTTTTTTATTTAACATAGTTAAGTAGTTGGTTAGAAATTGTAATGAAGCTTTGCTTTTTGTTAGTGAAACTTAATTACTGGGAGGAAATATTGAAATGTTGAAGAATTTTTTATTTTCATGCAAAGTAGAGGGTTCACTTTAAATTTTTGTTACCATAGTTCCTTCTTGAATTTGTTGATAAGGGGAGACATAAGAATTTATTGATGTTTTTGAATGTTTTCATCTTGTTGATTATATGTGTGTTGCATAAAAAAGATGAGAATTTTCTAAATTTGAATGTGGTCTTCAATTGATTCATATGAAATATCGAGGGTATGTGGTTTAAGCTAAATGGTGTTAGGGAATTTGGGAAGTAGTTTTCAAGGGTTTTACTAGACAATGTAGTCTGAGGTTCGACTGTTTCGAGAATGTGCAGTTGGAGGTCTTTAGAAGGAAGCTTATGCAATCGCTTCAAGACGATGAAGAAAGTTCTGTAAGTAGTCCCACTAGATTGCTCTGTTGGTTCTTCCCGGGATTTCCTTTTAGGATAATACTTTAAAGTGTTCTGACTTGCTAATCTTTGTTTCTGCTACAGGCCACAGGGGGTCGTCCAATCGTAGCGAAGCCAACACCATCAGGTAAGATTTTCTTTTTTCTATTCACTCAGACGACCTCGTTTGAACTTCATTTGTGCATTTTATCTATAATATAGATTGAATGTTCATTCCTTTGGTTCAAGGTGCCTTCCTTACAGTTATTTGTCTAATGCATAAGCTACTTGCTGTGCTCAAGTCTTTGTCCTTTCCTTATGATGTTAATCCCTGGTTCTTTTCTACTTTCCAGAAGATGCTGCCGCCTTGCTTTCAAGAACTGCTTCAATGCGCAGCCAGTACTCTGATACAGGAAATTCATATACGGAGGATCGTGACACAGATGGTACATAACAGTCTATGTTCATTTTGCCATTGCTGTAGAATTTTTCATAAACAGGATCTTCTGTTTCGGTGCTTATGGATATTTTGTTCATGCATGTCTGTTATCATGAAAAGAAAAATTCAAATGATTGCAACTGAGTGCACTGAGATCTATTCTTTTCCCCTAATCCTTTTGTCTATTTCTCTTACTGGATACCATTTTAGCGGCACCCTCGAGACCTGCCATACCTCATGGCCTCCTGCTAGCATCACAAACAACCACACCTCGGATGACTCCTCCAGGTTCCCCACCAAGTGTGTCAGCCTCTGCATCTCCCACAAGGACTTCTAAGCCAGTGTCTCCTAGGAGGCATGCAGTTTCATTTTCTACCTCAAGAGGCATGTTTGATGACAGGTCATCAGTATCAAGCACCGATTCCGGATCACAGTCTGGTTAGTTCGAAACTGTTCTAATATAAGCCCTTATCGAGAATCTAATTGCTTGTAGAGCTAGATGTGTAGTTCTGCAATACTACTTTCCCTGCAAATTCTATAGTATTTAACATATAATATCATGACATCTTTTAGTGATATGTTCCAGGTCGCACTCGGGTTGATGGAAAAGAGTTCTTCCGTCAAGTGAGGTAAATATATCTGTATTACAAGAACTTGTAACGGCAGAAAGAGTCAGCTGTTGTGGATGATGAATTATGAAGAATCTATGTATCCGGTCATATAGCTCGAATTGATTTGTAGTTTGTTCTTGCTTCTCATTTTACATTACCGGCTTTCAAGTTTTGCATAGCTTCGTATCTCACCCCAAACTTGTTTCATCAGAAGCCGCTTGTCATATAAGCAGTTTGGTGCATTCCTGACAAATGTTAAAGAACTAAACTCCCAAAAACAAACGAGAGAAGTATGCAACTTCTTGTCTCACACGTTTTCTTCATTCTATTTGTTTCTCGTTGCTGAGTTTTCATCTCCATTTTTTATCTCTGACTTATCCAGGAGACTTTAAGGAAAGCAGAGGAGATTTTCGGCCCGGATAACAGAGATCTGTATGCAATATTTGAGGGTTTGATCAATCGCAATGTCCATTAAATCAGCCGAGTAATCATCGGTTTTTTTCTACTTTGTGATTTATTTAGTAAAATTTTTAGTGTAAAGTTACCTAATAAAGCATCTATTCTGACAACTTAACAAAAAAAAACTTAATTCCTATTGGCTATAAATTTGTTCATCCGTTGTTCCATCGGTGAAAAACCATCAAACTGTATGTCAAAGGTTGAGATTTGAATCTTTGAACTCCAACCGTTCTGAAGATATTCCGTCTTCCTCTGCATTTCGTATTAAGGATCATAATTTTTTGCTGGTTTGACAGTAAGCATTGTGTCATTATTAAGCACTGCATATTGTATGGCTTATGTAGCCTTTTAGCAGAGGGAGAAAATGAAAAACCATAAACAAAAATTTATGCGATATTGGTTGAATATGTATCTGGTTTCTTTCCAACAGCAGTTTTTGAAGGTAAAGGAGTAAACAAAGAGTAAGATAATCCCTCAAGTTCAGTGCATTAAAATTCAAAGATAACCCCAAAAGTGTTTTGCTGGTTGAATTATCAGCAAAATATATTTGGCAAATGCTTACAAACAGAAAGTGGAAGAAGACAAAGAAACATGGTGGTTTCTTCCACGTGTCAAAGACCCAAACTTGTCAGATTTGCTAAACATAGGTTCAAATTTATTCTTCTTTTTTTCATTTTTTTAAAAAGTAACTCTTTTATCTGAATTTCTGCTAAAAAAAGGGGATGAATTAAGAATTAAGAATTAAGAATGAAGAGATGGGAGAAAGCCTACTTTTAGTCACAAAGAGATATCTGTCAAGAAAACTATATGGATATTAAAGAAAGCTTAGAGAATAATGGCAACCCTCTACTCCATTTCTTATATTTCTCATCATTCTCTCTTTCTCTAATCTTTTGGCTTCTCAGGTCTCCCTGGTTTGACCATCTCTGAAAAGCCATGGGGGATGCAAATGAAGCTTCTGATAATACAAGGTACTTTGTATATGATTTTTGTTTCTGATCCTGGTTGTTTTCCATGTGTTTTGTGTTTTTGCAGCATTGGGTTTTACTTGTTTATATATTTTTGAATGATCTTTTTGGCTTTCTTGCATTAAGGCTCTTATGTTTCCAATGATTTCAAATCTGTTTATGCTTTGATGATTTCAATTTTCTTTACATATAATGCGTGTGTATTTATGTTCAAAACGGAATAGAAGAAAATTTTGTATGACTCGGACTCCATTATGTATGTGTTCAACATGGATATGTTCATTTTCGAAAAAATGTTTTTCCATGTTCTCATAAGGACCTTAGATTTATTTCTCCATAGACACAGAATTTTTCTTACTCGGACTCCGATATGTATGTGTTCGACACGTTTTTTGGACATGTTATGCATCTTAGATTTATACTTCGGCAATCTATGTTCGTCTTCGAGGCATGCTTAATTGATAATTTCTTGTCACTGTTTATACTAACTGACATGCTGCTTTTTTGTTTATTTCTTGCCATATTGTTTCATACTGCCATTCGTTTTCCCCTCGTTGATAGTATCATCTGTTTGTATCTTTTCTCCTCTTGTTTTAGTGAACCATCCATTGCCGGAAAAAGGTCCAATAGAACAATCACTGACAAGACCATATAGGAGCCTCTTCGTTTTGTGAGGAATTTACATCGAGTCGGTTTCTCAGCCACGGTTGTATCTCTTGGTATTCAATCATCCTTTCTATTTTCTTCGGAGTTAATATGGTTTAGAGACTATAATAGATATTCTAATGTTAGATCCTATATGATGTTAGGCTTGGAATCTTTAAACACCGAAGTGAAGAAAATTGATGCAGTGCCTCCGGATGCTGCGTGGGATGATTGCTCAACAAGTATTGCAGAATCAATCGAACCTAGAAGTGAAGCATCAGAAGAACCTGCGGGATCTGAGACAACCGGTTCTCAAAGCTACCCAAGTTTGGGTAGTCTAGTTCAACTGCGTGGCTTTTTTGGTTTACTGAAAAAGGGACCCGGAATCCCCTCTCAAGTCTTGCTAAAGAAGGGCAAAAGAAGCGGAGATGACATGGTTCCACCACTAGAGTCGACTTTGAATGCAGAACTAAGCTGTTTTAAGTCATCCTGGAAGAACTTTTCGCTCTCGGAGCTTGAGGAAGCAACCGATAACTTCAGTGATGGTATATTTCCTCCTACATGATCATTGTTTTTGTAATTTTGATCTGGTTATAATGTCGAATTTCCACTTGGAAAAAGAATAATGTTCCCATGACATTCTCTTATTGACCAACTAGGCTGACAAACACTCATATTGCCATTGTTTTTGAGAAGAAAATTTGATAGGGAAAGGAGGGTATGCAGAAGTTTACAAAGGGCAACTGAAAACCGGAATGTATGTTGTGGTAAAGCAGCTAATGAAAGGTTCACCAGAAGAGATGACTATTGATTTCTTGTCCGAGCTTGGAATTATAGTTCATGTTGATCATCCCAATATTGCTAAAACGATTGGCTATGGTGTTGAAGGGGGAATGCACCTTGTTCTTCAATTGTCTCCCCATGGAAGCCTGGCGTCGATACTTTACGGTTTGTTTTCTGCAAAACCTCTTAAGTTTGGTTTCTTCACAAGTTCATATAAAAAAAGAAATTAGCAGTTAAACTTGTCATCGTTCATATACAGGTCCTAGGGAGAAACTGAATTGGAGCGTCCGATTCAAGATTGCTGTAGGGACTGCCGAAGGCCTTGGCTATCTTCATGAAGGTTGCCAGCGAAGAATTATCCATAAAGATATCAAGGCGGCAAACATATTGCTTTCAGAGCATTTTGATGCTCAGGTAAAACTCGAACTCTAACTTAGAATTCTGTAGAATTGCAGATAAAAAGGTCTTACTTAAGATGTTCCTTTGCTTATGGTTGAATTTCCAACGTAATTGCTGATCTCAGATGTTGGCCTTTCAAAGTGGTTTCCTGATCAATGGACCCATCATACCGTCTCTAAAGTCGAAGGCACATTTGGGTTCATAGTTTAAAACTTCACTCGGTTTCTGTACATCGAAAAGTTCTTTTATTGTATGCGAATGTTAATAAGAATCTATGTCATCGCAGTTACCTTTCTCCCGAGTTGTTCATGCACGGCATAGTCGATGAAAAAACGGATGTCTATGCTTTCGGCGTACTGTTGTTGGAGCTCATCACAGGGAGGCAAGCCGTCGATAGTTCACACCGAAGCCTTCTTATCTGGGTGGGTTTGGTTTACCAAAAAGAGAATTTATACTCGTATCAGATACGCACTCCGAGTCATCCACTTATTCGTCTTGCAGGCAAAACCATTGATTGCAGAGAATAAAATCAAGGAGCTCATTGATCCAACTCTGGGGGATGACTATGACCTGGACGAGTTAAAACGTTGTATTGCAACAGCTTCGATCTGTATAGATCAGTCCGCGATAGATCGACCCCAAATGAGCCAGGCATGTCCTTCCCTTTTCATCACAAGTTTACTTGCAATAAGTAAAACTGAAGAATGTTGTAAACCCGGAATGATTCAAACATTGCATTTCATTGCAGGCTTTAGCCATCCTTAAAGGTGATGTTTGCTGCCTTGAGATGCTGAAAGAACGGTCCGCTCATCGGAGGATTTACTCCGAAGAGATCTTCGATGCAGAAGAATATAACTTAACCAAGTGTTCGAATGATCAAAATAGTCAGATTAACAAAGTTTGAGGGATTAAAACAGTTTGAAACAAGGAGAAAAAGTCCATGTGAAAAATATAATATAAACACATGTTTTTGTATTTCACACATCTTTGTTATTATCCTTTGAAGTCCATAGTTTGAGCATTATGTAGGGGTATAAACGTTTTTTTTTGTTAAATGATTAAGAGTAATCTTTGAATAAATACTGTTTTGTATTCACCCCAAATTAATCATTAATTTTAAATGCATCAAGCGGTCATAGTGGTTAAAGGGAATATAATATTCCCTTAAGGTCTTGAGCTTGAGCAGATACATCTACAAGGTGTGTCTGTGTTGTCAATTATTAATAAAGATTTTGAATATATATTTCCCTTATAATTATCCCAACTAAACATAAAAACAAGATAGAACATTATTTTATTTTGGTTCTTAACAAAATTGTTTAAAATAAATTTATATATAATTAAATAAATTATATATATAATATATATATATATAACAATGTAAATTTAAATAAAAACCTACGTAAATTTATTTTTCAAATATTATTTAATATATTAATTATATAGTGCAACACAGACAATTTATGATTTTTTATGAGAAACTTTTTAGTCTACATTAGGAGTTAAATTTATTATATATATATATCACAAAAATAATTTAATAAAATTAATTTTTAAATAAATTTTTACGTATGGATGAATTAAACGTTAGAATCTTATCTTCTACAAATCAAATTCCCCATAAGATTCTCACAAATCACAATGATACCATTTAGTTCTCAAATATAAAATAGTTTGGTGAATCATAATCATAATTAGAGATGAGTTAGATAAAGATAAAATTTTTATTGGTCCAAATTTGATCTAAATATTTAAAATTTCTACTTGAATATGACATGATTCGAGTCATTTTTCGTTCGCCTCAAATGCGATCACTTGATCTGCTGCTACTGAAAGGTTCAATCTTTATCTTTTCTCAGTTGTTATATTTAGGGTTAAAGTATAATAGAAGTTTATAAAGAGTTAATTTCATCATATGTATTCAGAAAAGGATACTCTTTCTAAATTGGTTCCTAAATTTTTAAATATTTTAATTTCATCCCTAAACCATAGCTATCATTCTAAGTCAGTCCCCAAACATTTAAATATTTTATTTTCATCCCTAAACTATATCCTTTGTTCTAAATTAATCCCTAAACTTTTGAATATAATTGCATCTTTCAAAGACGGGGGACAAACACATAATTTTACGTTAAAAAGAGTAAATTTTTAAAATTTTAAGATGAAACAACCTTTAAAAATTCTAAAAAAATAAAAAAAATATTTTTAAAAAAAATCTAAAATATATAATAATTTTAAATTTTAAAGAGTCGATAACCGTCCCACCGTCCATCTCTGCCAAAGACAATATGGAGGACAAGTTTTTGTGATTTTATATGCCAAAGTGCAATGGAATATCCATCATAACAACATTGAATGAAATCTTCAATGATATAATATTAAAATAGAAAAATAATAAATCAATTAAATATAACAAACGATAAGGATTCTATCTCGACCTCATTGGTTGTCCCTTGAAAATAAATTAAAAGGGTAGACATCACATACGAGAAAAGAAAAACATATCTTGGCTCTAGCGGTTTCTTATTTACTAATTAGAAAAATATTTTTCAAAAATAAGAAAAATTATTAAATTATGCTGAAATATTTTTTATTATGGAATTTTAAAAATTATAAAATAATTATTATTTTTAAATAATTATTATTATTTATTAATTTATTATCAAATGATTATTAAATTTATTGAGATATTACGAAATAATTATTGAATTTATTTTTATTTTGTAATCTACAATGATTTTTTTTATCATAGTTTAATAAAATTAATAATTATTTATAATTTATAAAATTAAAGTGATAAAAGTTATTTTAATATACTTTAATGATTATTTATATAAAAATTGAATAAAAGAAAATTAATTTAGAAAATTAAAATAAATTGTTAAAATTTTAAAAATTATAAAATTATAATTTTTTTGAATAATTATGAAATAGTAATTAAATTTATCAAAATTATGAAATAGTAATTAAATTTATCAAAATATTATAAAATAATCTCTAAATTTATCAAAATTTATCTTTATTTTATAATATATAGTGAATGTTTTGTAATAATTTAATAATTATCTTATAACTTTTAAAATTTTAATGATAAAAAATTATTTTAATATAATTTAATAATTATTTATACAGATTATGTAAAAATTAAATAAAAGACAACTAATTTAGAAGTAAGATTAGCTGTACCAAATCTTGTTGTATCCTAACAAGATTCTGTGGATATCTTCAAAATTATTATATTAAAGAAAATAAAGATTGAAATTAGTGTCATAACGTGGAGAGGTCAACGCTTCAAATCAATTTTATTACCAAGTAGCTCATACGAATCACCCTGCCACGTGGCATGGACTACCACCACAATCTCAAATAAATTAATTAAAAAAATCAAATAAACACTTTTAGGTTTCAATACATTACGGTTAAAATATGCAATTTTTTAAAATTATATTTAATGTTATATTTTAATTATATGTATAAAAAAATTCAATAGAACTAATACAGTAATATTATTATTAAATATTAAATGAAATATAATTAAAATAAAATCAAAACGTAATTTAATGATTAAATATGATTTAAAAAGAAAAGTAATTAGATGGTCAAAACATAACCACACACGTAATTAGATGATTAAATACATAATTTATCATAGAGTATTCTATTCGATGTTATCAAATTATTCATATGAGTGAATAATAATATTTTATGTAAAATTAGGAAAAAAATACATTTTTTAATGAAATATCTAAGATATCAAATATCATAAATTTTATGTCTAAAAATATCATTTTATTAATAATTTTTTGCATATCTACTTTAAAAAATCTGATTAGTTTAAATATAAATTTGAGAATAAATTTTTGTTAGATATTAATTTAAAATAAATTAATTAATTCAAGTATGTAATTATATTTTAACTTCAGTTAAAATAATGTTCGAAATATAAATTTTCTAAAATAATAAAGTAATTAAATAAAAAAAAACTTGTTGAAAAGCATACAGTGGTGAATGTAATACAGAAAATTGAGATAGTTTGTTTCATTCTAATCTAATAATATTTTAATAATAAATTTACAATTTTTTCTTTGAAAATGGTTATAAATAAAGAGAAAAAGACACAAAACAAATGAAAGAGTAACAGTTGCAATCAAATCACAAATCCAGATAAAAAGGAAAACCCACCCATTATAGACTACAAGTAGACCAACAGCTAAAATAAGCAAAGGGAATAATATTTTGGATTTTTGTTATCGAATCCCTTTGTCAAAAGCATTTATACCCTGCTATTGAGCTCATCTATTGGTTCATTTCAACGCCAAAGATCTAAAATTTAAGCCACAACCCTTCTTCTTTGTTGGGTCATTAAGCTTTTTGTATCTGGAAAAACTTTTTTATATTTGCATAGAGAGAGAGAGAGAGAGAGAGGAAGAAACAAAGGGCAAAGACAATGGAAGTGGCTCAGATGCAAAGAAGTTTGGTGGACTACACAAAGACCTTGTTTATGGAGGTAAAAATGAAGTTTTTAAATGTACAAATTTGTTAACAAAAAACCCTATTTTTTGTCTCTGTTTTGTTGTTCTTGGTTCGATTTTTTGCTTACTTTTTGTCTTTTTTTTTTGGGGGGGGGAGAAGGGTTTCTTGGATGCTCAGTTTTTACAGCTTCAACAGCTTCAAGATGAGAGCAACCCTGACTTTGTCGTTGAAGTTGTCTCTCTTTTCTTTGATGATTCTGAGAAACTTCTCAATGATCTCTCCATGGCTTTGTAAGAACTCACTCTTGTCTCACTTTCTCTTTCTACCATGGATGTTTCCCCCCTACAGCTTAGAGTAAAAACTGTCTTTTTTTATACAGAGATCAGCCAAATGTTGATTTCAAAAAAGTTGATGCTCATGTTCATCAATTGAAGGGCAGTAGTTCCAGGTGCAAAATCCTTAACAATTCTTAAATTTTATGTTTTATTTTTCTTCTGAATCCTATACTTTCACTGAAAAACCTGACTGAACTTGTTAGATCCAACCTTTCGAGTGATTGAGAGGTGAAACAACATGAAAATAGAATCAAAATTTTAAAAAGGTAATATTTTCTTGTTTGATTAATGAATCAGTGGTTCATCTTTGTGTGTGTGTCAACAGCATTGGTGCACAGAAAGTAAAAGATGCCTGCATTGCATTTCGCAACTTCTGCGAGGAGCAGAACATCGATGCGTGGGTTGCTTTACTCTGTCTAAATCTTCTTATTTACAATATATTCGAACTTGAGATTCGAATACGATGTCTTATGAAATTTTCAGGACCCTGAGATGCCTTCAACAAGTGAAACATGAGTATTACCTTGTGAAGAACAAGCTTGAAACTTTTCTCGGGGTTTGTATACTTGTATTTACCTAAAGGACATCGATTAGTTTTAAGAGCACTTAGGTTATAAAACTGGGTTTTCTTATCTTCGTTTCCCCGTTTATGATTCTACTGCAGCTAGAGCAACAAATCGTGGCGGCCGGTGGGTCGATTCCGATGATTGAAATGGGTTTTTGAAGACCATAAACATGAAGGGAAAGCATGACTCCGGGGCGGTTTATACAGTAGAAACATTTGGTGTTTTTGTGATTGCACTTCAGTTCTATAATTATAAGGTTCCCTTTTTTATTTGAACTTACCAAGTGAGCTTGTGGTTGTTTGATGTTTGATGAAAGAATGAGAATGTTTCTTACTAGTTTCTCATCCCTAACCTTGGAAACTACCTTTCTGTTGATAATTTCCTCTTGAACTCTATACTGTTTATTCCATTAATGTGGATATTATCCGGTTTGTGAATCGCCGAAATTGCTAGATTTATTCATTGCTCGTGTTTTTCGACAATATTTTATACATGCGGTGAGGAATATTGATTGAAAACAATGCATCATCAGTGTTCTATATTTCTGCAATTTAGTCCTTAATATGATGTTATGCAAAGACAGCATGGAGCCATTTCCTACAAGTTTCCCATTGTTAGAAACAAATCCCATCAGATCATCATCGAAGCTTGTCGTTTCTTACCGAGGCCGACATTTATTTCCGAGAACGAGTCAATGGTAGGCATCCATTCTATAAACGGACAGCATAAAAGTTGTGGGGTCTCTAAATTGATTATTGAAATGACAAACAAACGTACTACTGTGCTGTCTAAATATGAATCCATCTCGGGATATGTTTCCTGTAATGTCAATTATAAATCTGTTGGGACTGTCGCTCTGTCGGCTGCCGAAAATATTGGATATTTACTTGAAAAACAAGAAGAGTAACTTGAAAGCAGTTGACTACAAAGTTCAGATGATATGAATGCTTCCTGCAAGTGAAAAGAGGTTCCGTTCTTGCAGAACAAGAACCCGGAAGTTCTTCAATGTAGAAAGTTGAGTTTGTTTCATTTGCTGCAAGTGTAAAGCCTGAATAATAAATGCTTGACAAACTGAGCTTTGGGAGTCTTTCTCGTCAGCTTCAAACTCTCTAAGATCTCCGGGACCGACCGACCTTATGATAGGTCTGAGCAAAATGAGCCTGATGTTTAATCCCGATTCAAAGACCGTCTTTCCAGCTAAATGATCGAAAAACATATTGAATTCAGCATATTTGTTTGAAGGAATAGTGAAAACATTTCCTTTATCATAACAACTTTGGCTGATTTGTCATCCAACAATATAATTCTGCAATTAGATCGAAAAAATAAATCCATACATACATACATACATACAATGTGTTGAGAGTAACTGGATGAAACAACAGAGTAATTCCTCGGTTCACTATGAACATAAGAAGATATGGAATCGAAGGATCTGAATTAGAGAAACTGTTTATGTTTGAGTTATAATGTTGCATGGCTTTTTACACATCTGCTTTGTTGGAACTGTCACTTCGTCGGCTCTCAAGTATTAATCTGTTGAGAAGGATATAGGCATCATGTTCATGAAAACTGAGTCTGTTTTCTAGGAATTAGAAACCCAGTTCGGAATGAGGGCTTCAGTCTGATTTGGAAGTGTATTCCACATTTTTCTCTGTTCATCATAGCTTCCTAATACAGCAGACTGGTTCTGATCACCCAATTTATCTGCAAACAGATCGTAATAAGATGTAGTGTCGACGTTTTTCAATATTTTTACTATTTTCCCTTGCTTTTCGTCGATCAGAATCTGTCCATCGACTGATTCAACACCTTCAGCAATCACTTTGATTGGCATTTCTTCGATGGTGGGTTTCAGATTGTGATGATCTTCGGCCATGAATATTGCACCAAGGATTTCACCCAAGAATATTTCCTGCAAACAAACAGAGATTCAGTTGTTCCAGAAGATCTCAATGGTTCTTTGGTGGAGAAAGTACATTTTATTCATAGATTGGAAAATGTTACCGTATGGTGATATAGGTGATGAGTTTGCTGCAAATTGTAGAATCTGGACAGTAGACGCTTCACAAACCGAGCTTCAGAAGTCTTCCTTGACAGCTTCAGCCTCTTTAAGATCTCTGGAATCTGACCAACTTTACGCTGAGTTCCGAGCGGAATGAGGGTGATGTTTAATCCCGATTTGAAGACCGTCTTTGCCGCAAATGGATCGAGAAACATATTGAATTCAGTATACTTGTTTGAAGGAATGGTGAAAACATTCCCTTTATCATCACAACTTTGGCTGATATGTCCTCCAACAATATACACATTCTGCAATTAGATTGAATAGATACTTGATTTCATTATAGAAAACATAAATCCCATTACACATATAGGTATATACAACCATACGTAAATATATACATACATGCATCCATACATAAATACCTCCATACATGCATGGATACTATCCTACCTCCCTCTTACCCCATTACATATGGGAATAGGGTCAGCTAATTTTTTTTATGCATGGATACATACATATAATAGAGTAAATTCATGAAACAACGGATTAATTCCTTGGTTCACTACTAACATAAAAAAGATAAGAAATCCAAGTACCTGAATTAGTGAAGCAGTTTTTGTTTGAGTTATAATGTTGGCTAAAGTAGTCAAAGGTCCATTTGTCAATATGTTAATCTTTGATCCAGAATCCATGGATTTCAGTATCGAAGTCCAAATTTCCAGTGCCGAAGGCTGTCTTGGTAATTTGACCGAGTTTTCTGCTGTATATCTGCAGTGAAAGTTGATATATTTCAGCTCCAAGTTCTTCAGACAGTTGCAAGAAGGATATAAGAAGAGTACCTTCGAGGACTTCGTGGTAAGTCTCGAGCTAATCCGTAAAGAGTATCCGAATCAAGAAATCCTCCACTTCCATGTGGGATAGCCTTAGCATACTTGCAATCTCCAACTGGAGGGAAAACTTTGTCCGACTGAGTCATAGCAAATACATCTCCAAGGCCAACAGGAATGTCATCCCGGCCCATCATGTGCAGTAAATCATAGATGATGTCTATCGTTGCAGCATTAGCCCATCCAGTTGGGCTTACTAATATTGCCTGGATAAAGAGAAAGACGACGAACATCAAATCAAACCTGCTGGTTCAGATAAGCGTTTGCGCATCATATTAGGCCATTCGCAGCCTTTCTTTTGAGAGCTTGGGCATGCATTTCTAGTGTCATTTAGAAGTGAAACCATTTACCTTGAGGTTGAGAATTTCCACAGGCACTTTGAGGAGATAAAATAGAGACAGAAAGTCTCCAGCACTCATATCCATATCGAAAACAACAGGTTTGCCAAGTTTTTTGTTTTCCAAATCTGGTTTGTAAAAAACTTCCCTGTAATAAGGAAATTCCGTCATAAGATTGAACCTCCCAGTATTTTCCGGTCTGTTTAGAACCTGCATTCGATCAATGCGTGTGATATTCATTAGTACACAATTTATAGTAAATATCAGACTCATTAAAGTTAAAACAGTAAGAACTTACATCCAAAAAATTTATGAAAAATTGTCGATCAAGTTTGCAGTCAACATCCGGATTAGGTTTTGCCTTCGTAGCAATAAGAACCTGAACTGCATCGGGATCGGTCATCTCCATCGTGTAGCCATCCTATATGATTTATAATGCAATGAAATCCCTAGTATAGTTACTATAACATGGTTAAACCGTAAATAACCTCGGAATTCATGGTGGTTTAAACCTGACCTCACATTTCCCTTTTCCATTCTCTACAAAACAAAATGGATCTCGAAGTCCTGTCTGAACATGACCGCTATGCACTCCATCTTTCTTCAGTTTGAACTTTGGAACTTTAAGGTTATCAAAGAATGGATTGGAACCATCGGACATTCCGTAAGGTTTATTCGAAGTAACGACAGTAATGTTCATGTATTCCATTTCTGCAAATTTGTTCTCCCCATTTTTCGTGTCTGAATTACGCATGATTGAGACTGCTACACCAGCCATGAAGGAGTCCCACATGAAGGAACTATACTGAAAGTAGCAATAATAATGGCATTAACAGTAGAAAAATACAGTGTCACTCATTACATATGCATTACAGGGTTAGTAACTATCAGAAAAATTATATCAGCATCAATCAAAAACTGAATCCGGAGCTTATACAGTCAATGATAAGAGGGGGAGTCTTGAAGATTTGGGACTTGAATCCCAACATCTAGAACCCGTTTCCCTATTTTAGGCAGTGGACTCTTTAGCAGAAGTTACCGTGTCAAATTTATCAGCAGATTCAGGAGCTATTTTTGTTTTCAATGACTGGAAGCAATACTCTGCCTCATAAGTTCCTTGGCTCGCCTCAAATGCCTTAAAAAACTCCTCAGTTATGGGGATGGTATTTGTTGCATCCAAGGGAACAATGGTGATTGGAATACCAGAATGAAGCACCTGAAATATTAGCAGTACATATACAAGCCTATATGCAATCAGTCAATAATGATGCCAGGTATTAACGTTTTTAAGGAACTGTTTTCTCGGATTACCTGATAAGCAGCAAAGGGATCACCAAAGATATTGAACTCCGCATAAGGATTACTGTTGTAGTCAGTGTACAGATTACCAGGATAACCACAAGTGTCTGGCTGGCAAGACGAGCTAGAATTTCCAAAACAGCAACTGCTCGGATCTTCAGACCTAACCCCACCACCCATTACATATATGTGCTCAATATTCTTCTTAAGATGAGGATTATTCATTAGAAAAACGGCAAGATTTGTGTGAGCTCCGATTAGGAACACCGTAATTGGACCTGCAGATATTGTTTCGATCATCACTTGTTGAGCAGCAGGCTGTTGAAGAGGTGAATATTTCCTGCTTCCCTGATTCCATGAAAAGGAAGTTTTGAATTACATATAAAGGAACATGAAATTCACCATTTCAGCTCCCATTGTTATGTGTATTGAAGAATTACCTGTGGAAGAAAGGCTTTTCGAAGGCCAAAGTTGGTGTCCATATCTAATCGTCCTCCATAGCCTGCAGGAATTGTTTGCCTATATCTACAATACCCAGCTGTAGTCATCCCCTGGAATAATAAATAAAAATTGCAGAATTTAAGCATAAATGTAACTCTACTGACTCAATTGAAAAGAGAAATTCAACCTGTTCAATTATTGGAAGATATCCGCCAACATTTGGCAATATGGTGCCATCTTCAAGGATCCCACCTTCGCCACCAACTCCGACGGCTATGTCGTCGCGGTTCATCATGTAAAGCAAGTCATATATATGGTTGACAGCATGCCCTGCATCAGACCATATATTTGTGTTGATTGTGATTGCCTGCATTTGAGTAGAGGTGAGTGTCCGATATGAGTACATGTCACTCACAGTCACGAGTACACTCGATCTTTTCGAGCTTTTGCTATAAACTTCTGGAGGATTATGCTTCATACCAGTGTCAAAATATGTGTTGGACAAGGATGTTAATATACTGTTATGAAATTACAAGTAAGTATTGCCGAGTATCATTCAGTGATCTAAACTCTGAACTTGAGCTAAAAGCATGAAATTTCTTACATGAAAATAAAATTTGTAAATTGTTTCTATTATTCATTTTCCTTGAAATTCAAAATGAAGATATAAACTCCAAACACTCGAAAATTAAACAGACCCATCAGATTTTTACGCTTGGAATTGGAATTCGAGTAAAATAGCTCACCTCCAGTTCAAATTCAGATCTGTTGAGCTTCAAGAGGTAAAAAAGAGCGAAGAAATCATCAGTAGCCACATCTGTATCCAAAAGAATTCGAAAAGGCTTGGCCTCTACAGCGTTCAAAATTGCTCCAAAAACTTGTACGATCAAAAGTAGAGCAACCAAGGATTTTGTCTGCCTCAACATTCTGTCTCCTCCGACTGATGGTTTTCCTCCGATGAGAAAATATGGTTAGAAACGGTTCAGAGAAGAAGCCGAAAAAAGGAACCCTTTGGGTGATGGGATTCTGCAAATACAAAACATGTCTTCTCTAATAGTCAATAGAGAGTGAAACTGTACTCTTGAAATTTATAACGATGATTCATTGGTTTTTTACAATGTTTTAGTTTCATATTTTCTTAGATTTTTCAGGGTCTATTTAGGTCAATCTATCGGGAGTTAAACGACTGTCCCTTTTTTCTATATGTATATATATATATATATGGTATAAGGGGAGGTAAGATAGTAGATTATCCCAATACTAGGTTGAGAGCAGCTTTTGTAAGATATATCTGAATTATGAAATACCTTCAGGGGAGTTAAATGACCTCATGAGGTCATGAAATCGAGTCTCACGGAGGACATTTCATAATTCGGAGATCTCTTACGGAAACTGCTCTCAACCTGGTGTTGGGACAATCTACTATCTTACATCCCCTTATCCCATACATATGAGAAAAAGGGACTGTCATTTTTATCGAGAGTTAATTGATATTTTTATAGGGTAAACTATAATATTGGCCCCTTCATCTAAATTGTATACATTTTTTCTGAATTTAAAAAAATAATATTTCGTCACTTTTACTTTTATTTTATTAAAATGTGACCACGTTAGTTTTTATGTAATTAAGATATGATCACTTATTTTATCGACTTTTAAATATTTAGTCACTGAAATTTTGTTGACTATTATCAGTGATGAAATTAAATAAAAGTGATCATGTTTTAAATAAATAAAAATAAAAATGATCAAATATTACTTTTTTTAAAATTCAACAAAAAATTATAAAACTAAAACAAAAATGATTAATCTTGTAGTTTATCTTTTCTATATTTTTTTAATTTTTTATTAATATTATTGAATCATCCTATTAAAAAAATGTTGAAATATTAGTTGCATATGTTATAATTTGATAAATTATTGACATAAATCAACATAGCCTTCGTACAATTTTTGTTTTTTCCCCAAAAAGATTGTTTTAGTTTAAAGTAAAATACACAAATGATCTATTGATTATAAGATATTACTTTATTAAGTACTTTAACTATTAAAAGTTATAAAATAATTTCTTATTATTAAAAGTTACAAAATAATTATCCAATTGTTCGTATATTTTATCGTTATTTTTCGTTAAAAAAATTCATACGTATGAGATATGATAAAATTTAATTAAAAACCGTTTAATTTGTATTTTGTTTATCGATTCTTCGTTTGCGTTATGTTGTCGAGCCAATGCTTAAAAGTAATTATGGTATCAATAGATATCATTAAAATATAATATTATCATATCTCAATCAGGTGATTAATGTACAACTCAGAATGCCATCAATTTTTTAACGAAAATAATAAATTTAAGAGAAAATAACCTCAGTGACCAAAAATCCCATATAATATACGATTTTAACCAACTTTTTCCGGATTTGCCAAAATGACCAACAAAATCACAATGCGATCGCTAATTCGCAACGCGATCTCCATTATCGCAAATTCGCGTTGCATTTTCGCAATGCGATAGTTGAAAATCGCGTTGCGATGGTCTACAGTATCGTTGCGATTTTCCCAATTCGCAATGCGAATAAGTAAATCGCAACGCGAATTGGGAAAATCGCAATGCGAATAAGTAAATCGCAACGCGAATTGGGAAAATCGCAATGCGATACTGACTATCGCAATGCGATAATAAAAAATCGCAACGAGATACTTACTTTCGCAACGCGATACTGACTTTCGCAACGCGATTCTGACTTTCGCAACGCGATAATACATAATCGCAATGCGATTTTCAAAGCGCCATTAGTATCCTGGCCAAGTATTTTATTTTTAAATTCCAAACACGAATATTAATATATTGGAACACTGAACTGTCCACAGTATATCCCGTAATCGCAACTCATAACCTAAAACCTAAAATCACAACTCAGTCCCATCTCCATCTCTCACTCTCTCACCCATCTCCGACGAAATCCGTCCCCATCTCCGACGAAATCCGTCTATTTCCATCTCTCAGAGCCACCCTCACAATCAAAAATGGAAAATCAACCAAATCAACCAACGAGTGTTAGTTTTTTTAATTATTTTCTTTTTGAAATTTTTGCATTATTATTAGGTTTTTCATATTGAAATTGATGATAAGTTTACTGGTAATTTCAATAATAGATTAACCATTTCACTTAGATTGCTTATTAAATCAACCGAGAATCGCAACGCGAAATGCAAATCGCAACGCGATTTTAGTTTCGCGTTGCGATTCTCTCGTTGCGATAGTCGAATTCGCGTTGCGATTTTCATTTTCGTGTTGCGATTTTCATTTTCAGAAACTATTCTTCTTCTGCAAATTGAAACTTGAATGAATTGCATTACTTCAACCAAAAAACAAAGACAAATACGAAATTCACAGTGTTGCATATTTAAGTTTGAAGAATAAACTACTACTATTTATGTTTATTATTGTTTTTGGTATATCTTCACAGTGTAGTTTTTGGTATATCTAATTTATTATGTTTATTGTTTTTTTAGAACTTTTATTCGGCTCAATTGACCTTGAGAAATAAAGTCAGCCTGGCCAAAACAATTGCGTCGAAGCTTTCACCTGCACAAAGAAAAATGTTTGAGGATACATACTTCGGGCCATGGCTGAAAGTACAACATCCCGGTGGAGATGCGATGTTGACACACCTGTTTCTTCAAACCATGACTAGCGATCTACCAGAGACTATACAACGTCGTGATGAAGAGATATGGTTTGATTTTCCACCGGCGTATACGTGTTTTGGGCGGGAGGAGTTTTGCTTAATCACCGGTCTACGCTTCGGACACAATGATGTAGGTCGGTACACTAGACACATTACCCGCCCATCTTGGCTATCCCGGGTTTTTCCTGAGCTGGAGAGGCCGAGTTTACACGTAGAAGACCTGACAAGATTTTTGAATAATAAAGATGGTTTTACTCGGATGGATGACGTCGACGTTGTCCGAGTATGCCTTCTAATTCTTTTGCATGCCGGCTTTTTAGGCAGAGATGCCAGACAACCTATTCCAAATGATCTAATCAAATTGGTAGAAGACCTAAATGCGTGGAACCTGTTTCCGTGGGGCTCGTATTTATGGAAAGCTACATGTAATAAGTTATCGTCTGCCTTGGATGATCGAAAAAGTTTGCATGGCGATGGTTCCAAATACACTTTGACAGGCTTTATTTGGGCATTTAAGGTAAGAATTTTTATATGATGTTTCCAAAATTATAAGTAATTATTTAACAATTACTAATGTTTGTTATTATATTGTTTGTAGATTTGGATATTTGAGGCCTTTCCCGCCATTGGTGCTGCGGTTAGTAAATCAATATAATTCTGTTGACTCATTTCTGTTAGTTACATGCATTTCACATTTAAATGATTATATTTCTTGTGTATATTATTTTATAGATTCGTTCGTTTATTACTTGCATGCGCCCAGTTATTATAGTTGACGGAGCACATTTGAAAGGTCGATACCTTGGAGTAAACTTATTAGCAGTAGCCATGGATGCTAACAATGGGATATTGCCAATAGCTTACGGGGTTGGCAAATATGAAACCTCTGATTCATGGACATGGTTTATGGGGCATCTTAGGGATTGCATAGGTCCTATTAGCAATCTGACAATCATATCTGATAGGGCAAACTCAATTGACAACGCTGTTAGAAGGTGTTTCCCAGATGCTTTTCATGGACTTTGTGGTGTTCATTTGTATAGAAATCTAAAATCAAGGTCTGCTGGTATAAAAAAAGCACAAATGGACATACTGGAAGGCTGTAAAGGCTTATCGGGAAGTGGATTTCAATAAGCATATAAACTGTTTAAGACGTGTTTTGCCTCAGTGTGCTCAAACACTAGAAGATGTCGGGTTTGAAAGATGGTCAAGAGTACATCAACTTGGAGCAAGATATGGTTTCATGACGTCTAATAGTGCAGAATCAATTAACGCTCTAAGTCGTCATTCCCGGAAATTACCCATTACTATGTTAATGGAGTTTTTTCGAGCCTCTATTCAACAGTGGTACTACAAGAAAAGAAACCATGCAGGTATTATTTCTTTGAATTCGTAACTTATCATATATTTTACTAAGTATTATTTATTTAAATTTACAGGAACATTGGAACATCGTGTTACACCATGGACTGAAAAAAAAGATAACGAAACGTGTTGTGAAGTCAACGTCATGGAGAGTTGAACCATGTTCAAACACTTTATTTGAAGTACTGGATAATAACTTAAATGGGCTTGTCGATCTAAATGCAAGGACGTGTAGTTGTATGAAATGACAAACATCTGGTTATCCGTGTGGCCATGTTATAAAAGTTGCTCTTCATCTAAACCAAGATGATTCAAGCACATATGCTATGGATTGCTACACTACATAAGTATATCGACAGACTTATGCCGAGATTGTCTACCCTATTTCACATCCTTCTGAGTGGGACATACCAGATGACTTACAAACAGTTTTGCCACCAGCCATGGACAGAAGGCTACCTGGCCGACCAAAAAGTCACGATCGTATACCGTCTAAGGGTGAAGAGAAGAAGAGATCGACATGTAGTCGGTGCAAGGAAAGTGGTCATACAAGGTTGACATGTGGATCACCAGTGCCATCACAATCATCTTTTCCTCTACCAAAATATGGATCATCATCAAAATCCAAAGTTCATATGGTGTCAAGAAAAAGGCAATCAAAATCGCAATCATCTTTAAAATACCAATCACAACTGGCTTCACCTTTTGGGACTATTAACTTAGGTGATTTTTAAATGTAAACGTTGTATTATGTAGATTTTATGTGTGAACTTTTAACATTTTCAGTTAGACATGTATTAGTAACTTGAGTTTGAAAATTGCTATGATTTGTTCCAGTTGTTATCACTTAATAGGCAATCATCTTAATGTCTATCGCAACGCGGAAATTACTATCGCAATGCGAAATGAAAATCGCAACGAGAGAATCGCAATGCGAAATGAAAATCGCAACGCTAATTTCGCAATGCGAAA